ACGGCAAACTATTCGAGATTGCCGGTTGCAAGCGCGAGCTTACACGTACACACATTTTCTAGTAGGTAGATACCCAGCCGCTGCTGTTTACGTGCGTGTTTGCGGTGCGGCGGCCGGTCTTTGCCTTTTTTCTTTTTCTTTCTTTTTTTTCTGCACCCCGTATACCGATCGTATTACTTATACGAGCTGCTGTTGTTTCTCTCGTTTTTCGCGAATGTATAAAAGAGATTCTGATGCAGTACGTCACGAGGCCGATGTGATAATTCAGTGAAAAAAAAAAATAACAAGTCAATTTTCTGCGTGCTGCGGCAGCTCGACTGTTTATACTCGTGACTCAAGAGAACGAATAATGTAACGCCTCGTCGAACTCGCGAGAGTCTATACTGCGGCGGCTAATAAAAAATTCTACCAACGGCACATCGATGAAATGCGCATCGACTTTGTATAGCTAGCTAGCTAGCTGTTGTATATGCGTGCGATAGCGGCTGTAGCAGTCGTAGCAGCAACAGCAACAGCAGCGGCAGCTCTGGTTTCAGTCGCAGGAGAGGCAGGAATCAGATTTCCCCACGGCAAACGTATCTCCTTCTTTCTGCGAGAAAAACGAAATCTCGTACGCGCGCGCAATGCTTTGCTCTCTCTCTCTCTCTCTCTCTCTCTCTCTCGCCTGTACTACTAGCTACTACTACCGCTACGACGCGAATTACCTGCGCGAGAGTAAAGCAGAGCGCAGAAATTGAAAAAAATGTACCCGAAGCAGAGAGAGAGAGAGTCTAGCACACATACAGTCGAGTATCGAGTTTAAGAAAAAGGAGGAAAGGTAGGGAGTGAGTTGGAAAAAGGCGAAAAAGAGAAGCGAAAAAAGCCCGAGTGTAAACTAATACAGATGTAAACAGGACGGGGTAGGGACGGGAAAGCACGAGAGCAGGAAAAAGGGAAAGAACGCGCGCCGGAGCATCGTCAATATCCTGTTTCTTAGCCGCACACACTGCACTGCGAGACTGCTGCTGCTGCTAGCGACGGAATTATATATTGGCCGCGCGCGCGCAAGTGACAATTACATCTGCGACGCAAGCTCTAAATTTGCTCCTTTTTTTTCATCCGCCTTCGCTGCGTCGAGACTCTGTATATACTTGGGTTTTCTCGGGCGAGTCGAACGAAAAGACGAGATCTGCCGTGGCAGCAGCAGCGGGTTTCCAATGATCTAGGCGCGTGGACAGAAAAAAAAACTTTTATCGTTTTCTTTTTTTTTCACGGGAGATCAGACCCGACAACGAGAGACAGCAGTTCGCGGAGAATAGTTTAAATTTTCCTGCCGATCGCAACGAGACTTAATGAGGCTTGTAATTACTATAGTTGGGCCGCACCAGTACCGTACTGTACCCGTACGTAGGAGATCAATTTGCAAGCTTGATTAAACCATTAGGTAGCAAATAGAGCCGAACTAGTATTAGCGAATATATAACATCGATGTGCTGCTGCTACTGTCGATATATATACATAACGTGTGTATCGCGAAATTGTACGCGCGATGTCGACGCTGGCGTGGCGGAGAGGGAGAGCATTGAATTATTAATCAGTCGATACACTACTGCCGCACACACATGGTTCCAATTTATATTACTCTTTCGTCGAACGAGGAAAAAAAAACGAAATAAAACAGAAACCGCACGTGTATAAATAAGTTTTGTGCATCGACGATCGATTCCCTATTCATAGGCGAGTATCGGCCCTCCAGCGCATTTGTATGTATATTTTCAATTAATCGATGTAACGAATATAATGACCACGTGATTATTTTTTCGTTTTCTTGTAATGTTCGCGCGCATGAAAAAAAGTATAACGCACTAGCTCTCGGGGACAATATCGACAAAAGTTCCTTTGCTCGGCCGTCGCGCAGTCGAAGCGAAACAATCAAGTTGAGCACTTAAGCTCTCCTCTTTGTGAAAAGGGCAAAGTGAATCCGGGCAACAAAATGAGAATTTTAATTAAAACGTCGAACCGCAAAATAGTTTGTTACGGAATTATTGATCACAAAATTATCCCGAGCAAGCGGCGAAGGCTGCTTTTTTCCCTTCTTTTTTTTTTTTTTTTCTTTCAGTAGCAGCAGATGTTTTGTGCAAATTTCTACACAGGCCGGAGCTACATAGTGTTAGTGATCAACATGCACATGGTGGTGTGCAGCGCATGTATATATGCTGTCGCGCGCGGGGATGGACAAGTCGCAAAACCTCTGGGCTTTTGATGATTTACCGCTGTTATTGCGTCGAGAGTTTTACCCATCGAACGATACTAATTGAACTCCAGCCGGTGCGGCTTCGGCTCTAGCTAGCTCTCACGGAAATGACGTTTCTCTTTCGCTCTCTTTTCCCGAACAGAGGTTAAAAAAAGCCTGTGTGTTTCTGTCGCTGTGGCTAGCGCCGCTGCTGTTGGCTGCTGGCTGCTAGTGGCTGCTGGTTCTGCCAGTGTTGCGATACAATTCGTATGAAAATCAAACAAATCCAAGCCATAAATATTGAATTCAAAAATGGTTTCAACTGACTTATATTACAGTTGACTTTGACTGGCTGTGACTTATACAATTATTTTGACTTTGCCACTTGCAGGTTTAGAGATTAAGGTGGTCGCCATCTAGTTGTGAAATCTTAAAGTGATATTATCGTTTACAATGGTTGAAAAACAGCTTCAATTTTTCGAAGCAGTTGAATCGTTATTTTCAGGACATTTTAAATGCGCTTTTTAAAATTCATTTAAAATTGAATAACCGCAGTTCATAGGATCATAGGAAACATAGGAAACAAGCTTCAAATGAAACCTTGTCCCGACTACACCGCTTGCAGATTTACAGATAAAGTTATACTCGCCATCTAGTGGTTGAGGCTGGATTTAATTATATTTAAATTTTTATGAATTTTTCGGTGAATTCTAATTGAAATGTTTAAATTCGAGTATAGAATTATCATCAAATTAGAAATCAATCTATGTAATTTCATTTTTTGTGCTGTTTTAAAAGAAGAAAAAAAGAAGTCTAAAAAAGAAACTCATCAAGTATACGATTGAGTCTATTATCTCACGAATGATCGTGCTTTCATTTATATGAATAATTTTACTTTGCCACTTGGAGGTATAAGCAAAAAGTACTCGCCATCTAGTGGCCGAAAGCTCAAAGTAGTATTATCGTATTCAAAGTCAGTTTTAGGTCATTACGTATGTGCTTAATATTCGTACTATAGTTGCATAAAAAATAGACATAGAAAAAGTGAGGATGATTCAGAATTAGCAGTACGCGTAGAAATAATTCAAAGTGAAATCTTTAACAAATGAGGAAAAAAAAGTCCGGCGTACGCAACAGGTCGGTGATCGTCGGGCCAGAGAGAGAGAGAGAGAGAGCTGCAGCTTTTCCGTGTGCATACGTTTAGCTGCTGCTGCTGCAAAAAAGCGCAACCCACGCATCCATAATATCGGCTCTCTCTCTTTCGAATTGGTCGAGTGACGTGTCCGTTTTGACGATTTGCCATACGCACGTACGATCGTACTTGCACGTCGTCATCGCGCGCGGACGAGATGATCGAAAAGCCGAAGCGGCGGTGATCGCGAGCTATATACCGGTAGAGTAGGCGATGTCAGAGTTTCATGAATTTCCCAGCAGCGTCCCGACAACACACCTACATACACACCCACATACAGGCACACATCAAATGCAGTGACGCGAGTTGCAGCAACGAACTACTACTGCTGGATAATGTAGCGTCGCGCGCGCGGCTATATAGCGCGCCTGTCGGATGGCTATCGCTCGAGTCGTGCGCGCCGGCGATGAGTTCAGCCGCGGACAGGTGTCACTTGCCACTACGTTGAACGACGGATATCGACCAAAAGAACAGGGTCAATCTTTCGCAGAGAGAGAGAGAGAGAGAAAGATGAAGACTTTATTGTGGCAGGAGGGAGGAGAGGCGATAAAAAGAAAATAGACCGATTTCTGCATTATTGAGGATACGTTGTCGGTGACAGCTCGATCGTGGCGACTTTTATCGAAACGAATAAAAGGAAAATTTTAATCGAATATCTCTTCGCTGTCGTCGTCGTCGTCGTTGGGCGACTTACGACCGTCGCCCGATCGAGACCAACTTTTAGGTATTACGCTGGACATATGTAGCTTATATATGTATTACGTAAGGCTATATAGGTATGTACGGGTACAGTCTTTCGTGGATAAAACCACGAGTTGCTCACTTGGATGCTTACTGGAGTAGTAGTAGTAGTAGTAGTAGTAGTAGTAGTAGTAGTAGTATACTCGTATACGTAGCGCGCGAAGCTGCGAGAGAGAAAGAGACAGAGAGGAGAGAGAGAGAGAGAGAAAAGAGCAGAGTTTATGTACACTGCGCTGTACGCCACTGCTGCCTTAGGGCATCGCCAAGCTCTCGTTTTTTTCCTTCTTATTTTCTCCTCCTCGGCAGCGGCAGCAGCAGCAAAAGCTCGTTTTCTGCGCTGCAGCACCCCATCTTTTTATATATCCCGAATACTCGTGTGCTTGCTTGCGTCTCCTCTGTTGCTTCTATATACTACTACTACTGCAGCATGTTTGTATGCCGCTTAATAGCTCGTCTCTTAACGGGTTGAAAGGAACTTGGTCCGAGCTCTCATTCCAACGACGACAAAGACGAAGATGAACATTCGAAAATTATTCAAATAGGCAGCAGTCGATCCGTCGCGCGCGCTATTTTCTCGTTTAATCGACGACTCTGCCACCCTTATATTCTGCTGCTGCTCAGACACTAATGGCCCTCTCACCCACGCGTTTAAATTTTCATATCGACGCCGACGCGAAGAATATCAAAGAAAAGCGTATTATGCGCGACGTCGATAATCGTTCGCTCTCTACGCACTGATATAAAACGATGAACGAGCCAAATTGACATCGAGCTGTTTTCTCTTGATCGGCTATCGCCTCCCTTCTTGAACTAAGAGACGTGTGAACTTATTTCGACCGCCAACTGTTTGAGCGTGCAAAAATATCGATTTTATTTATAATTACAATTATTTTTTCCATTACGTAGCTATAATACAATTAAATAACAATGGATCAACGTCAGTCATCGTCTACCGAGGTGACGATGCAGTGCAGTGTCTTTATCGTGTCGATCGACAGGTCGGGCGGAAACAGTATGTGCTTCTTGACGGCCCTCGAGTCGTCGATGATCCGACTCAGGTCTCGCTTGCTGCTCACCAAGCCCGCCATCCGCTGGGGCCTCACCCCGATCTTCTTGGCCAGTATTCCCGTGACGAAGACGTCGTCGATCCAGAAGAACGCCTCGCCTTCGGCGGCCTCGTACAGCCGACGCGCCGCCTCCGCCGAGTAGAGGACGCTCCAGCCCAGACAGTAGGGCGGATAGTACTTGTCCTTGTATTCGCGCGGGGTCGTGTGCCACTTGGAGCGCCAACTCCTGAGCACCCTGAGCGAGCTCGGCTGAGAGCAGAGGATGACGGGCTCGTCTTGGCCGTCGATCAGGTCCGGATCGCGCAGAAAGTCGAGCAGTGCCTGGGTGTGCACGAAGACGTCGTCGTCGGTCTTGAGAATGTATTTGGCACCTGTGAACGAGAGAGAGACATCGACGATCGTTCGATAACGAATGCAAAACGACTTATATATAGCTTACTCGAGCAGTGTTGCGTAATCCACTTGAGCGTGCTGACGTGCTTGTACGTGAGATTTCTGTAGGTGTCCTCGAAGCTGCCCTGTATCAGATCTCCGTGCCGCTGATTCTCCCGGTCCAGTCTCGAGGCGTACTCGTCCGAGCGGCCCAGTACGAAGTACACGGCGACCTCGGACCTCCTCTGACCCCAGGTCTTTCTTATGACGTTACGCTTGTCGCTGTTGGCCGGCGCCGAGTGTATCATCACCAGCAGCAATGGAGTTCGAGCGTGACAGTCGTCGTCGTGGTGGTGCATCGCGCGAAATTTCAAAGCGTTCAGATCGATCGTCGGATTGTTGTTGCCGTCGATCGGAGATGTCGTCGTCGTCGTCGTCGTCGCGTGATTATGAGGCGGCAACGGCACGACGAACACCAGACTGACGAACATGGCTTTGAGGGACGCCAGCATCGTTCGTTTATTGGCACGATGTCGATAAAGTAATGTCATTAAGTTCTGTCATTAAAAGCTAATCGAGTAACCGAGCTCTGGTTTTGTTTTTGGTAATGTAATTCTCTGAAAACATATCGATCAAATTTTTTTTAAAACTGCACCGAATCGAGTATAATTTATTTTTAGTCTTTATTGTATTACCTGCATGAAAAAAGCTCTCGCTGTCCTCTCTCGTTGAAACACCTGAAATTTACACAATTACAGTACTCTCAAAATAACCTCTTGGACAAATTTTGTTAATCGATGTATAAAAAGAGATTAAATATAATATTATGAATAATAATATTAGTAATAATATCCGGGGCTCTCGAGAGCGAACCGAACGAGATCAGGTAAGCTGTCGACAGTTAACAAATTGAAATGCACATTGTTGACTCTCTGCTGCTGCATCGAATAAACGGGGGGAAAATGTGTGACTAGTGTATATACGCGCGGCCTCGCGTCGACTGACAGTTCGGATCGCGCGGAATAGACAAACCGGACACGAGTGTGTGTGTGTATGTGTGTTGATCTTTCGATCTAGCTCTCGCGCGCATGATGATTCGTTAGCGCTTCGCAGCGAGAGAGAGAGATAATTCGATTTCCGTTCGCGCGAGCAATTCGTGTGACATATCCACGCGCGCCAGGCCAGTGAGTATCGCGCGCAGCAGATAGATAGTTGTACTAGTAGTCGAGTAAACTCGATACAGACTATTTTCCCTGGCGCTGTAACAGCAGCAACAGTAACACTACAGTTAGAGACGACCAAAATCATCTCTGCGGGTAATGTGCATCGAACATATATACGATAGATGTATTCGCTTGACCGAACGAAAAATATTTGCGCGCGAGGCTTATATCCATAGAGAGGGAGAGAGGGAGAGAGAGAGAGCGATAAGTGCCGCTTGACTGGATGTTGCTCGTCGGACATCAGCTCTTCGGTACGTATATAAACTTCCCCACTCTCGACTTCTCTCTCGCTCTCTCTCAAAGCCTCGAGAGTTTATTTATTTTTGCACCCGGTCTTTATCGACGCCTCTGTATGTAAGCGTGAATGACGAATCGCTCCATTTCGTTAATTACTATCTAGCTGCGCGTAAAGCAGTGGGAAATGTTGAAACTTCGCAAACTTTGAATTTACAAGTTTTTCGGCTTCCTCCCTCCCTCTCTCTAGACAACGCGCGCGGGTGACAAGGAAAGAAAGTGAGATAAAAGACAAAGTGTCTGTCGCGAAAAGGTCCTCGTGCCTCGCTGCCAAAGATATATATAAAGGGCACAGCAGCAGGCAAAAAAGATCCGCACGCACAGGATGGGCTAAGGGTATTTCAACGTCACTCGCACCCTCGAGGGATAGCCTGTAGCTCCTCCTCGGCCTCGGAGAGAAAGAGAGAAAGAGCGACTCAATCCCCGCGCTGCACGCATAGTAGTAGGTAGGGTGACCGAAGAATTTCAATAACCACTTGCGCGCGCGATTCCATTATGCTTGTGCCGCCCGATGCAAAGAAATAGAAGGACGACGCGGAAAAAGAAGAGGGCAGAGATACATACGCGGCCCTCCTGGAATGTCTTTCTCTCTGTAGTAGGCAGTGATGCGCTTCTCGGCTTGTGTGCGATTTGAGGATTCTTGAATTTCGAATTGTCGGCTATATAGCTCTCCTTGTCTTTATTCCTTTGTCGTATATATTCCCCAGGAGCCCTGTACCAAGCCGCCGCACGATTATTCCAAGGACGCGATCTTTTTCGCATTCTACGAGTTTAATAGACTTTTGGCTTTGTTTGCTGCCTGCAACTCTTGTTATATTCGACATTATTCTAAGAAACGCACGTGTATATTACATTATATAAGGAAACCTCGGGGTTGTGTATCGCAAAATCAGCAACATAAATATAATTGACGGGATCCTCGACACATGCACCGCGGCGCTCCGTTGCCCAGAAAATATAATAATTTTGTGTGAGCGAGCGAAGAATCGATACGTCGTGGCACTGCAATAGATCTATATATTGAATATAATATACGTTTTCCACGCAGCCACGCGCCGCACGCCACGTATTATATCGTTGGATGGGAGGAGTAAAAAATCGACGCAGACGACTTATTTCTCATTTCTCTCTCTCTCTCTCTTGCTCTCCATTACCAAAAGGAACAATCCGTTTTTACGCCAGTACGAAACGCCCCATTCGTCTTTCATCCATCATATTTTCGCATTGACAGCTGCTGCTTCGAAAAGGATGGAGCGGTTCGGTGAGCTTCTCGCAGTTAGATATATATTATTTATCCGGGCACGGAGCGATCTGTCACGGATATGATCCACGCTTACATCGCAATGTGTTCATCAAAATTCTCTTAACGTTTTATAAAGGCCGTCTATATGATAGCCTGGGTGCGCGTTTCACGTCGATTAGTCACTGCTACCGGATCATCGTAATTTCTTCAAACACTGATCGCCTGTGTAAGGGATTATGCCGCTGCTGTTTCGATCAAGCTGCTGCCTCGCGAGCAACGAAGCTCAAAGTGACGGACGCTCGAGGAGGTATATGGTATAGCTGCTGTGCAAGTTCATGGTTGGTAGCTGCAAGCGGTATATAGGCAAGCAAGCCGCAAGCCACACCAACACTTGTCAGCTCTCGTGGATTTGTGCAGCGTTAGCGAGATGCGCGTCATTGACGGATGGGACGATTTAAAATTTGGCAAATAACTACGCACTATATTACAGCGTCGCATATACATGTTGGAAATCTTTTAAAAATCGAAAGTTTCGTGTATAGTGCAGCCGCTAAAATCATCCGACGCGTAACATCAAAGGAGATATATGTAGTACGAGCGAGAGAGCAAACGAAACGTACACATATATCGTCGGGTGGAAAACAAACAAGCAGCGAGCAAATGAAAACTATCGCGTGTCGCACGCAGAAAAGAGGGAAGTACCCAGGGCAAATATACGCGCTTTTGAGCGAGCAATACTACCTCGAGTGTATAAGCTATTCAAGCAGGACTTGGTTTTAATAGTTAAGAGGAGACAGAGGAAGAGAGGAAAGCTTAGCTACGTAATATTTGGAAAATGCCAAAAGACGCTTTGACGCGCGTGCTTCGACGACTAAATACTGCTCCGCACGTAGGTAGCGCGAATCAAATGAATTTCGTTATATATACGCTTGTGCAGTTTACGTGACGAGTAGCGCTGTGTCCTCGGTTACATTTTTTGCCATTCGAGCTGCTGCTCGGAGACTCGAGATTAATTGCCCGGACGAACTCGAAATATTCAACACAGTTGTGTGTAAGTGAGGACGATCCTCGTCCTTTTCCGAATACCAATTTTCCGAAATTCGCGCACGTCGGTGCATCACAGGGGGGAAGGAGTAAAAAGTTGGTCAATTATGATAAAAAAAATTGCAGCCCGCGCGAGACAAGTTACAATAGATACCGAGCGAATCTCAGAACGATATATCGGTTGAGAGGCAATTTCACGCGCTAAAACTCAATGAAAAAAAATAAAATGAAAAAAAATGAGAAATAAGCTCGTGAGAGGAAACGATTCGTCGAATCTCTGCCAGAAAGCGGGTTGCTGCACCCGCCCGCGCAACCGACGCGTCAGCTGCAAAATCATAAATTCGCCGCCCCGATTGAAAACGCAACTCACGTAGCGCAATGCATTATAATGCATTTTCTTTCGCTCGAGCCGCGGCGGTGGCGGTAGCGGATGGGGCGTGACAGTTGTTATACGTCTATATGCGATTGATTTGTCGTCGTCCACGTGTATGTGTACGTGTGTATGTAGCCCTTCAAGAACCGCGTCACGAGCCCTACAGATGCACATGGTGCAGTGTACCTCACACACACACACACAATCTTACACTAGCACGTATGTAAGAATCGGCTTGGCTCGTCGCACACGCGTCGGTTGTTCTCATTTTAAAGTCGGGCGCGCGTCTTTTCTCCGCTATGCGTGCTCGAAGGTACCCGTTAATCTCTGATTTCTCGTCGAAGCTCTGGGAGCAATTTTTTACGCTTCTTTTTGCGCCGAAAAATTGTACTACTTCGCCTGTCTTGAATGCCGAATGAAGCCGTGCGTCGATTTTCTTTTCGCTATTTTATCAAATTTCCGGGCGTTATTTTTCCCTCCCCCACGGCATAGTTACTCGAAATATAGATGGTATACAGTAGGGCGAGAAAGAGAATTTCTTTTTGCCGCAACAAGCTTTTCCCAAATTCTTTGATTTCATTTCCTCAAACGCGAACCGTATTTACGATAATTCACGATCGAACCCTCATGCGGACGAATATAAGTAATGGTTTGCATATTGTTCGACTATACGCACTTGTACTACTCGCGAGTAAGCAGCGAAATGTTTTGCTGGAATTTTGCCACCAACGGATGAAGAAATGTAATATGCCCGTTGAAAATACGTAAGTAGAGAGAGCAAAGATACGAACCCAGCGAGTCTTGCATTTCATCGTGTGTGGCTATATACACGGGTGACTCGGAGAGTCGACAGACGCGCGGAGATCGTAAAAATGACAGTACAACAAGAACATCGGGCGTGGGGGGTGGAGGACGTACAGCGAAAGTATACGAGAGACGGAAAAAAACACACACACAGATGAGCGGCTAGAAAAATTGCACAAGGGACTTTGGGCTGGTACGGTGGTGTATAGGAGAGAGAGAGAGAGAGAGAGAGAGGAGGCAGTTTTGCCGGTGGGTATTACGTGCAGCAGCCTCGAAGCGCAGGAAACAAAGTATGTGCGCACGTAGCAAAAGAAAAGCGAGGCGCGCGGCATCCGCAACGTAGCACAGGCATACAGCGGATAATGCGACGAGCTTATAGTCTCGGCGTACCATAGCGTATATACATTTCGAGTTGCGAAATTACGCCTCCTTGGAACACGTGGTCGAAGCTAAAACGCGTCGAGTGAATATGTGTACGAGTATGGAGTGTGCGGGGGTGGCGGCGGCGGCGGCACATTATCGACCCGTGCCATGCACATCAACTTTTTGCGACGCGACGGTGGCGGCTAAGCATAGATCTCTCCACGTGCGCACATGCATATTTGATTAATGGCTATAAGCCCGAATAGACAGGCCGCGTCGCTCTCGGCTGACATGTACTCTCCCTGCCCTTCGCGGCGCAGCAGCAAAGTTATTTAGTCCAGGCTGAGCTGAGCTGGGCTGGGACGGACGGACGGGTCTCTGCAGCTGCTTCTC